TATCTCTCTTCTCTCTCTCTCTCTCTCTCTCTCTCTCTCTCTCTCTCTCTCTCTCTCTCTACCCCCCCTCTCTATTTTAACAAACATTAAATCGTTAATATAATTGTAGTATGTCATTAATTAAACACATAATTATAAAGGCAGTAATTTTAGCATACAGTTTATTTTAGCAGAAATATTTATGTACATTTAAAAATCTGTTCTATAATTGCTCCGGCGATCGATAACTGAGACGATGAATGAAGAATAATACGCCTGTTTTATTATAATTTGTCTAGCAATCATTTTCCACGTAGCTGTCGTCACGGCATAATATTAATTCCAGTCTGCGCAATTAAAAGTTTTACGGAGAAATTGCGTATTGAATACGCAAGTTCAATAGGGAAAATATAGACGAGAACGCAACGGGAGAAAAAGAGATTTCAGAGAAGACGGAAGAAAGTCTTTAAGACTTTAATTTCAACCTGCACATACAGCTGTCGCAGGTACTTCGACCCGGCCTTTTCTTTCATCTGTCAATATTTGTCATTGTCTTTACTTTTTCCATCGCTATTACCTTTACTTATATTCGCAAAAAATATTCCTCTCGTATTTGCAATTAATTATATTTTATGGTGTAAAAAGAATTATTTGCGAAAAAAGTTCTTGGCATAATTTCGAGAAAAATAAATTGAATCGTAAAAAAATTCATATTCTACATAATTTTGTTTTGGTAGTCCAACAAAATTATTTTCAGATCTGGCCAAATTGTTATATGCTTTAGCAAAACGATTCGTTTCTTGTAAGCCTGATGAGATGTACGTGCGGCACGTAGTAATTTACTTTATGAAACTTTCCTAGCGCGCGCGTCGAGATCATCACTTTCTCCCTTTGTATCGACCCTTTGTATCGGCGTGACGCGCACCACTCACTGACACTCATAACGTAATAACCGAGAACGACGCCGGACGACAAACGACGTCGACAATGAACGTCTTTACTTGCTGCGCCGGCAAAAAGACCAGACTAGCCTAGCCATAAGAATGAAAGAAACGCAAAGATATTGCAATTTTTTTCTCTTTAGCAACCCCTCACGACTCGTTAGATGCAAAGCGGGGTGTCTAATGTGCTGATGATAGTGGAAAGAGTTATGAGAATTGAATGGCATCGACTGCCCCCGAATAGAAACAGATGATGTACAAACAACAACAAATAGATCAACAAATAGATTTTTACATAATTGATCTCAAAAAATAACAATTTTTTTATAATCAGATATTTTATAATATCTCGAAGATATTGATAATAATTTGCATTTTGGGGAATTTGTCAATTTAAGAATTAAAAAATATCTATAATCAATTTTTGTGAATTTTTCTGCAAATTTTTGCAATACCTATCGAAAGAGATACGCCATAATACATCACAAGCAAAGCGATGATTTTCAACATGGATCATAAGCCGCGACTCCACAGGTTACGCCACATTTCTGAATAATTACATATAAAATGCGGAAAATTAATCAAGATGGAAGATATCTAAGTTAATTACTTTTTTCTTTTTTTTCTGTTTAACAACAATTGTGTCAAAAATAAGGATTGAAAGTTGTATAGAAAATATCGAGGAACGCCGATAAAAAATGCTGAATTTATAATACTTACATAAGCAGTTTTGCAAATCTAATAATAATGATTATAATAATTGTAATATTAATGCTTGCAGAAAAAAAGAAATTATACATTTGAAACGCATACAGAAGAAATAATCGTAATTATAACATCCCGAGATCTTTTAACTTATCATTTATCTTTCGCAATTTCCGTAAACGCGGGTTTCATATAAACCTATTTAATTAGACTGTTTAACGATTCAATGCCATACGACGCATAATAAACACGCAAGCCGAGTATACACCTCAAACAAACGTCCAAAGCTGTCGCGATCACGCCCAGCTCGCTCGACATTGTCGCTCGATCATTAACCGACGCACATGAACGCATTTACATCGAGATTGCATTTCACTAATTAATTATACAGTTACAGTTACCTAGCCGCGAGTCAATCATCGAGTCATGCTCATGTAGTTGTCGAAACATTTAAATTAATAAAAAAATGTTGTGTTTCTTCAATTAAAACGTAACATTGATATAATTTTTCTTATTGCACAAAAAGTGCAAAGTGACTTGAATAAATGAGTTTGATGAGTATCGATGTGTGTTAGTGTGTTGAGTTGTCGTTGTGTGTATGTGTGTGTGTGTGTGTGTGTGTGTGTGTGTGTGTGTGTGTGTGTGTGTGTGTGTGTGTGTGTGTGTGTGTGTGTGTGTGTGTGTGAATTGTTCGTTAAGTGTGCTTATTCATGCGAATGAGATGTTCGATAGTAAAACTTAAAATTATCTTCTCAAAAAAACATATTATTGCTTGAGATTGCACTTTTTATTCATAACGAGGCGAACACTTTTCTTGATGTTTCTTTAATTGATAAATCAATTTTATTTAATAAACAATGAATTTTATTTAATAAACAATAAAATAAATTTTTTTTTGGCTAAAAAGATATTTAAGGTTTTCCATGAAATCGTTAAAAACAATTCAATTTGTATTTTTTTCTTTTTTTATTTGTATTCTTTGTCAGTATTTAATATCAATTGTAATGTTTATATCTTTGACTTTGGACAAAGTGTAAATACTCATAAATAATTTTAATTCACCATCTGTGGAAAAATCAATAGACATGCATTTAATTTTGCCGCAGGTTAAAATGCATTTACAAGATACATATTGCTTCACGCTGAAGAAGGATGCTTTTTGCAGAACGTTTCAGCGAAATCTCGATGAGAGAATACGCCAGAGAATACCTATTCGATAAATTGTTTGCAGTAAAAAAGTCTATCGTGCACTGTAAATTGACTCAATACTGTCATAAATAATTATGGAGCATTTGATAATACAAAAAAATTATGCTACACACTTACTTCACAAGTATCGATGCCTTGTTTATTTTTCTCTATATGATGTAGATTTTGATCTAAAATTGTAACACAGAATATTTTTGATTTCCAAATCTAATTTATAATTTGTCAATAAAGAGTTAGATAAAAGCAGTTTTTTTTAAATAATTTTAATTAAGTATATACAATTCGTAGAACTTGTTCAAAGAATCCTTGTTTCTTAAAGAAAAATCTATGACATTTATTAATCTTGAACAATATTTCAAAGCTAATTGAATGTTGTTCGTTATATATTATATAAACTGTGTTAGATTTTCAATAATTTATGATGCGTAATATTAAATTGTGCATATCTTTATACGTCGAATACAATTTTAAAAACATTTTCGTCCGATAATCGATACTGAGAATCGTTAATAGCAAATCTATCTACAAACTGATTAGATGGTGTCATTATTATAAAAATATTTGTTTTGACTTTTATAATTGACTAATGTGTATAATTGCAACTTAACTTCCACGTCAGAAATAGATATCATAAATTAAAATGTTTATGTATTTCTATAAGAGAAACGATTGTTTAAAAAAAGAAAATCTATATTGATTATAAACATATGTATAAAAACATCTTTGTACAGTCAATCTTATAAATTAAAGTTGCAAACATGTTTTTCGAATTTAAATTTGATAGAAAAAAATGTACAATAAAATAATATGTAGGTTTTTCAATAAACTGAAATTGAATTACATTTTATTTTAAAATGTAAAATATTTAAAAAAATTATTTATTAATTATTTATTATTTATTAATTTTACATGTAAAAATTAATAAAAGTAGCTAAATTTAAATAAAAAAAAATTAAAATAAAAAGAAATATTTTCAATTTTTGTAATCAACATAGGATTATTTATAATTTTTTTTCATAAAGCTATTTAATTGATGATTTTAAAGGTATTAATTGATGCTATATGAAATTGATCGCTTGTCATATATTATAAACATATTTTTTTAATGTTCTGCTTATTTAGCAAAACTTATTCATTTTTTTCAAAGATCAATTATGTTAATGTGATGACTGAAATGTGATGAGTACACTTAGACGCCATCCATAAAATAATAATGAATGATTACATTGTAAAATACTAATTTTGTAATTGTTAAAGAAGTCGATTAATATAATATCTTTATGTTATCACGCAGGAACTCTAGTCATGTGAACTAATAACACACGGCATTGAATACTTCCGTTCGATTTCACACAACAGATTAACAATACGCTCATACTTCCTAAAATTATCATATCACGCTCTTTTCAAAATGAAAGATCAATAAGTCTCGACATATAACCTGATACACGTGTGATCAACATTAAAAATTGCTGAGATATAATTTTTAATAAATGTCTTGGAATTTAGATATCCAACTAAAGAAACTTATATTCTAATAAATTGGTACAATAAAATCTCTTGAGCATTAAATTTATTCGGCAAATTATTAAAAAAAATGTCTCAATTGCAGAAATAATTATAACTATCGTAATTTACGTACAATTCCGTGAATCGTCGTCGCGTAATATTATCTTTTTTTAATCCTTCCAATCAAAGCCGCCGATCCTTCCACTGCCGATCCTTCCATCTTAGCTGATTCGAGGCGAGGCATGACACGAATTGAGTGCAGTATCGATGTTGCGCGCGAGACTCGCGTTGCTCGCGTATTAACCAAGTTGTTTACGCGTTTGCAGAGATCGCGCAAATTACGTGCGAGTTACGTGTGGGTTACGTTCTTCGTGGATTTCGATCCCCGTTCGATCCCGTTTCTCTCCTCGCACGGTGGAATCCGCCTCCGTTTCCGAACCCTCGAACGTCGGTCCGATTGGCATATTCCATGATGCTCGACGATACTTTTGAAAAAAAGCATTCCGGAGTTGTACCGGGAAACGAGCATTGTTACGCTATCGCTACCGGAAATCTGTATGAATATTCAACTATTGCTACTACGGCGCACAATTTCACGTCGTAGTAGCCATACGAACGATATACTGGAGGTCTCTCTTCTTTTTTTTCTTCTCTCTTTTTCCTCCTTCGTCAGGCGAATAATGTCCGAATGACAAAGCAACGGATCGAGATCGGATTACGTGCGAGAAGAACGTATCATATCTTGTCCCGAAGATATGTCGCACGATTGGAACTCTTCGTTGTCTTCAGAGTGGCCGCCGGACGATGTGAGGGATGAATACCTCGCCAGATGGGAAATCGCAGTGCTGACCAGCATATTTCTCACCACTCTCATCGGCAATTCTCTGGTCCTGTTAGCCCTTTATACCAGACGACGTTATCAACGACGGAAGTTCACCAGAATGTACTTTTTCATTTTGCATCTGAGCATAGCCGATTTATTGACGGGTCTGCTCGATGTCTTGCCGCAGCTCGCCTGGGATATAACATTCAGGTAAACCGCACCGTCATTTTAACTAACCTCATCGTTTTTTCATGAATTTTTATTCACGTAAAAAACGCCTACTAAAACAATGATACGGAATAGGAAAGCATGCCAAGTGCATTTGTTTATCTAACTGTAATAACTGATATCAATCTTAATAATATGTTAATAGTATGCATATTTCTTTTATTCATTCCGCACGAGTTATTTTATTTAGAGAAAAAAAGCGCATTTAAAAAATAACAGAGTAATATAAATATAATAAATATAATAAATATAATAATAAATAATAATAAATTATGATATATGATAATAAAATAAATAAAATAAATAGATTACAACGGATTAATTATAAATAAGATGACATAATTTATTTATTCGAATATTTGAAATAACTGTTATCTAAGATTATTTAAATCGAATAATATTTGAATAATCTTCATATAATTATATCTGTTTAGAGAAAGATATAGAAAAAAAATAATTAAATAAATTTGACGGAACTATTATAGGTTTCAGGGTGGAGCGGTGCTTTGTAAACTGATCAAATTCGGACAACCATTTGGCTTATATCTAAGTTCCTATATTTTAACGGTGACCGCGATAGACAGGCATTACGCCATTTGCTATCCCTTCAGTTACTGCGGCATTACATCCCGAAGATCGAAAATGATGGTGTACGGGGCATGGATGCTTGCCGTTATACTGTGTATACCGCAGGTCCGTTGAAAATTTAATTCGTGCCTTCGCGCCTCGCATTCTGCTCATACTTTGCTTTATACGAAGGGTAGATCGGTGTCTACTTGAGATATTAATTTTTATACTATGTAGACGTATGCGCAAATCTAATAGCGTCGACGCGCTAATTTATGAGAACGCTAATTGCATGGAATGGTAATTGTTTCTTATAAACGCAGCTTTGCAAATTTTTTTTTTAATATTTTGGTAGACGTACATATGTCTGGCACAGTTGTCTGACAACTATAAATGTTATTAGTACATTTGTCACAAATTATAGATCCTTTCATTCAATAATTGTAGATTTTTATATTCTCGTACACGGAAATATCGCCAGGCGTTTGGGAATGTTGGGCTACCTTTTACCTGAAATATGGCGAGAGAGCTTATATTACTTGGTAATAGTTTGTTTACGTATATAATTTCATATATATATATATATATATAGAATATCCCGAAATTTGAGATTCAAACTATTATAGCGAAATATTATAAATATTCAAATATAATAAATATAGTAAATAAATATATAAATATTCAAAATATTAGAGCAAAAATATTTTTTTTAATTAAGTAAAAATTTATTTATAATTCGTTATTTTTATATTTAATTTTATAGGTATAGCATTATGCAGTTCCTATTACCCTTCATAGTGCTCGTATATACCTATACGAGAATATGTATGTCAATATGGACAAGTAGTAAAATGTCAGGAGTCGTTGACCTTAAAAGGAGAAACAAAGCCAGTTTCTCACAGCGAAATCGAGATCCCCTCATCTCAAAAGCAATGATAAATACCGTGAAACAAACAATCGTTGTGGTTACTTTATACATTATCACCAATATTCCTTTTATTGGATGTGAATTATGGGCAACATGGGATCCTAAAGCTTCCACTTCGCCATTTTTTACTGGTAAAGATCCTAAATCTACAAACGTTAATCTATTTTTTCTAATAATACATACTCTTTATATCTCGTCATCTTTTTAATAACTGTGAAACGTAATGCTGCGCCGTTCCTTTGAGTAAATGTTAATTATTTTCTCGTTAATTATTGCAAAAATTGCTTAATAAGTAAGTAATATAAAAAGACTTAATTTAATGTGCATGTAAAAATAGAGAGAGCAAATTTTCCCGTATTTATTTTTTGAACTTGAGATTTCTCTGAAAAAAGAAATAAATTATTTAGTAATTCTTATCTCATTATATAATTTGTGTTATAATTTGCAGGAGCTGCTTTCACTATTCTAAGTCTCCTAAATAGTCTCACGAGTTGCGTTAATCCTTGGATTTACTTTGCATTTAACAAGGAATTACGTACGGCATTAACAAATTTTTTCTGCAGAAAGAAAGATTATTCTTTGACTTATGGTAATCATAATGTTTCATTCTGAACCGCTCTCTCACGTGTGTATTTCTGTTGCACTGTAAACATTTACGTCACGAGAAAATGTTATATTTATATCTTATTTTCTTTCAGATATAGATGCACGTCAGAATGCGTTGGATGTGCCCTCTTCAACATCGCCGTTTATTTCTAGAATCTCGCGACTTATAAGTTCAAAGATATTCGAGTAAAGTGGAAACAAAATAAAGTTTGCATTTTGAGAAGGACTATTTTGAATGTAAAGATACATTGCGAATATATATAGTTGATGCATATATACATTCGCGGACGTATAAATGAATTTAGTACGACAATGTCGAGCACGCAATTTCTTTGTACAACAATTTTTTAATAAAATTATCTATGAAGAACCTATTAAAAACACTTGTAAACAAAAAACAACTCATTTTTTTATAAAAATATTTCAAGGAACAATCTAGTTAGCGATATGACCGAGATATTTACTTCGCGAATTTTTATTACTTGTAAAATGGTACTATGGACATTTGTCTTTGCGTATCTGTTTTATAAATTGTATATCTAGTGAGAGCACGGTGCAATTGCGCTTTTAATATTTTTTCTGTATTCGTAATTCTCGTCGCATCTCCGCCCACGTGCGTCATTCTTCAGCGATCTGTTATACTTGCACGGTTCCACCTCATTAGTATTTCCATTGGCCGGGCGTCTATTATGTTCCGATGTTTGTACCCCCATTTTTATCCCGATCATCCCAGAGACTCTCATATGTATGCTAATATTATACAGCAGGTATGGACATTCACATCTGGATATAACTCCATTGCTATCTTTTTAATTCCTTTGGGAAGGAACTACAAATAGTTAAAAAAAAAAAAAAATATTTGTACAATGACTCAAAATGTCAGTCTCGAGCAATTTTTTTCTCAAAAGTATGATTATGATTAATAAAGTTACAAGTTAACGCTATATTTCTGTTGATCTTACAGCTACATAAATCAAATTTTATGAAAACAATTTTGTATAAAAGTTGTGGATAAATATTATTACGATAATTCTAAAAATAATAAAAAATAATACTTGTTAAAACTTGTCAAAATTATTTACAGAAAAGATAAGTTTCAAGAATATACCAGTTTCTTTCCTCTTTAATTGATCTTTTGTTATTATATTAATAATTTTCAATAATTTTGTATTATTTTTGTATTATTTACATACATGACACTTAAATTTTTTTATTAATAATATTATAATTAAGATTATTTTGGATAGGGCCCCTATGATAATTGATACACTCTTCTTTTTATCTGATTGTGACAAACTGAGAACCTCTGATGTGGAACACCTGAATACTTAATAAACGGATAAAATTAACATTAATAACGACTGTCTGTGGCCGATCCACATCTTATCCGAGGACAAACGCGACCGCTAGACCCACGTGATAAACGCCTTACGATACTTCGGTGAGAAGGGCAATCATCAGTTTTTCACGTCGTTTCTCTTCAACGCGTCGATGGGTGACATCAGGGTTAACGAGGACGTGCGGTTTGTGCTCGATCAGGTGTCCATGGAACAAAATTCAGAGGAATATTGTGCCGAACCGAAAAACATACACGAGATAGAAACAATCGGAGCAATGCGACACTGCCATAAAAATGTAACGCTACAATATTGTCCAATAATATAAATAATAAGAGTCATCTTTTTATTTACTTTATACTACTTTATATTACTTACTTTGCACAAGTCTGAGTTGTATTTCAAATACTAACAAATGACACATAAACTTTTACTATATAATACTTAGAAATATTATTTTATAAATAATAATAGCAAATATTGTTTTATATTGCACATTGGATCTAAATTTTCCAAATTATTTCTTTCTAGTTATTCTATTTTAGGAACATATTTCTTTTTAAAATAATATCTCACATATTTTAAATTCATTTCTTAATTTTTCAGTTTGTATTTCAAATTTTAAGTGTAAAATATGCTATTAGAACGTTTTAACTTTAAATTATTATTTCGTAACGTGTATTAAATTTACAACATTCGACCCCTAAAAAATATTCTGATTGTCGTATTCGTCTTGTGCCGCAATAATTTCGCGTTAGTGCTGTCAAAAAGAATCGCGCTGCTAAAGTTTTGTTCGAGTATCAGCACAGAAGAGTAGCGAGAAAAACTAATTTATATTCTAGTCCGAAAACGAGAGTAACGATGAAGACTATACGCGTTCGCCGGTGTTGCTCGATCTAGATGAGAATTCGAAGCAACAGCAACAAAAGACAACGAGTCAGAAAGTAAACTCGCCAAATTCCGCGCTAGTGAATCAACAGGATCAGAGACTAGCACCAGGTATGCATAGGAGATATCTTGAGTTTATATTTAAAGATACAAAGATCACTTGTCCTTTTGACGTATCGATTACCCAATCGTGACGTATCGATGCCTCAATTATTGCGCACGTCAAAAAACTAATTGCCCCATTAGTTTTTTTTTAACGCGATTTTTATAGGTATGTATATAATTATATAACAACGAATGCAAAATCGCATCTTTAATTATTAATTATGTATTGTTCTCGTAGAAGAGACGACGCAATCGCAGGCTATAAGAGATAGATGGCAAGAAACGATGACAAGAAACTTTGAGACGCGCAGCCAGCAGAATCCCGAAGGAGTATTTGTGATAAGAGTACCGGAACCGGAAATCATCGGCAGTCACCCGCATCTCGAGATGCTTCACGAAGCCAACATTAAATCGGTACAACGAGAATCGTCACAGACTGAGAAAGGTGCGGCAATGTCGAATTGCGTGTTGCCTGGTGAGATCACATCCACGATTGAACTATTAGGAATGCCGCGTGACATCGAAAATCATGATATCTGAAATAGATATTCCTAACATATTTGTCTTCCTACGCTTAACAATTTCTTGCCACAAGCCATCCTATATTTGTGTGTCATCTCTGTTTAAATTTTTTCCAAATAATTATTAAACAGACTGCAACATACGAATTCGATCATTAAAATAATTATGTAGAATGTTTAAATTGGATACTGAAATCAAAAATTTTGTAGCATTATTGTGATACTTCTTCAGTGTCCTATATAATAACTTCCATGACTTAACGATATTATTTTTAGATCTATATTTGGCGAAATTTTTAGATATATAAACTTTAACAAAACCATTCTTTCCATATGTGAAAATACGTCTGATTCGTCATATCATATTTTCGTGTTATATCAAATTTTATATTTCAATAATATTTCTTGAATGAAAGATTTTCTAGCAAGTAAATATACACACACTACACGCGCGCGCGCGTGTTTTGTTGTGTGTGTGTGTGTGTGTGTGTGTGTGTATGTGTGTATTTTTATAGATTGTATTGTCGTTTTATTTGTTCTATAAGCCTGAATTTGATTTTTCATATAATTAAAAACTGAGTCATTTAAAATCTATTATTTATTTTACAAGTTTAATATTTATTTATTTTACATTGCTTTCGAACGCTAAAAATTTATTCCTGAAATGGTTCTCTCAAATGTAACATATCATATTATATCCTAATCTCATATACATATTTGTGTACGTAGCGTTTTTTCAAATAAGTAGATTTTATTTATTTTAGGAACATAAAATGCAAAATTATAGCTGTCACATGTGCGCTGAAATAAACGTGAAATAAGTGTATGAGCCGTGTTAAAAGACACAATGACATGAGCCAAGTGACCGATTTTTTTAGATTTTTTTTTTAAATACCAGTTTTTCTTCCAATAAAGGATTAACAAAGAGGGCTGCTTAACTGTCGAACGTTAATGCCGTTATTCATAGCTAGACACGCGTCTCTTTTGACAACGTTGGGCAAACGTATGTGCAGCTCCTGCTCCAGCAGCATGACCCGTAGATTTTTGTCACGTGTTCGCTGTATCTGTCGCACGAGAATCGAGGGATGATGCTTCTTACGCGACTTATTTTTCGTCACGACGCCGTCCCGGCTCCCTTCGTCCCTACGGCAGCGCGAGTGGCGCATGAATATCAATTCGATTTAAAACGTATGCACGTATTTTAGAAAAGGGTGAACTATTTTCGCGTCACGGTTGCATTCAATTTTAGGCACCACTAGCATTTTTATATACCGGTGCATCGCGTGACGTATTTAAAGTTATTTGTAAATGTGCATGCATATCGCATCGTCTCGGACAAACTGCATACGTAAAATCGCGCAAACGCGATTTTTTGCGACAACTAGGCCATTTCAGTGCCATGAACATCGCACATATAAACGCACTATCAGTCAGAAAATTCATAACTTTCGCACTTCTACAATCAATTCTAATTCTTGCGTTAGAATGGAAATTTCAAACTAAACTTGAACGGAATAAAAGTATAAAAATAATTACATTGCTTTATGTTTAGTGCATATTGTATACGTGATAGATCAGTTTTTAATAATTTTCTTTTGTTCGTCAAATTTTAAATTTAAATCTCTTTGATCTGCTTCCTTTAATTAACAATTTTTCTCTACATGTCAATTTCAATTTTAAAATTTAATACTTATACTTTAAACGATTAGATAAACTTTATTATTTAAATTAAATCCTACTCTTAGAATCATAAATTCTGCTTTAATTAAAATTCCGTTTTAAATTCTGATATTTCTGTCCAATCTTCTTAATTTCTTTTAATATATTTAATTTTATTTGTAACCTTTTTATTTTCGTACTATTTGATTATTTAAATTTTATTACAATCTCTTAATTAAATTAATTAACTTTAATGGTTTAACGTATAAAGTAAAAAAATCCATTTGCACATACATTTGCATATACATTTATCTTCGAGAATCCATAATTATTGAAAATTGAGGTCAAATATAGGAGCAAAATTAGATCTCCGAAGTGTCTTTACCGAATAGTAGATATACTTGCAAACCATTATACCTATACACGTGATTTATAATATAGCCGTTGTCGACTCGCTTCAAGCATATATTCCTATCGACATCCTTTCTGCGTCTGTTATGGCCTTTGCCACCCCTTGAGATACGCTTGACACGCTTGCCAGGCTGCGTGGCGGTAGGCAAGAGACAATCCATCGGTCCCTTAACGCCCATTCCGTCGCGCTTTCCCAGGATCTTGGCAAAAATTGCAAAATTGTTTGCCCACCGTTCCTCCACCAACTATTGCATTTCTCTTCTTTCTCTTCGATCTCTACAACGCGATCGCCGCAGTTCTGTTTCCGGTCGATGCTCTTGCAGTTGCGCTCCATCTGGCATTGCAATTCTTGTGAAGTGCACACGATCTTCTGCGTGGTTTCTCGCTGATCATCTTCAGCTCGTGGAAATTCCGCGAATTTCTCGGAATCATTCCGAACGATCGATGAAACATCTTCCAGCTGCGTTAAAAATGACGGATCGCTAGGAGGCTCGATAATTTCGGTTTCTACGCAAATGTCCTGACGTCCTCTCTTATCTTTGAAATAAAGATATATTAAACATTTTATTATTAATTATGTCTTACCCAAGCTTACAGAAATATGTCTTATATTATAATTTCTTTTCTATCAATTTATACCAAACCAATTTAAATCAAAGTTAATAATGTTATAAATTTATGCATATCTTGGAAATATAGACAATAAATTAAATAAAATTTACATCTTTGTTATTCATGAATAACGTTTCTATTTCGATCGTAACTTCGATCAAAAATCGATCATAAGTAGAATAATAGTAATCGTAGTAAATAAATACGCATAAATTCATAGATTAATTTAATAATTATTCTTCTATTTAGATTTCTTATATTTAGATTTATCAAATAATCGAAGAATGTTTTTACGTTCTTGTTACTTCTTACTTTTTACTATATCTTCTTACTTCTTACTTTGATCAACTTCTTCGGAATCGTTGCACGTCACGAACGTTATTTCGACCGAGCTCTGCTTTGATTTCAATGTCTTATCGCAGTATTGAGATTTCGTGCTGGTTTCAAATTCAGTGTTCGGATTTATAGTCAAACCCTGGCTTACGTGAAAATGATTCGGAACTCGCTGTATCACATGTATTACCATCATTCTCTTGCGTGTGTGCAACAGCAAAGGTAATCGAAAGTACCGCGCGTCATTTAATCGCGTTCCTTTCAGCATACGTAGAAGCATTATTTTTAAAGCTATTTTATATGTTTTGTATATTTCACTGTTTTATTTTATTTTATATTTATATAAAATATAAATATGAAATAAAATAAAATGTGCTTTTATATATATATATATTTTTTTTTACATTTTATGCGAATCAAACGATACCTCTTTGATACAATAAATTACCTTATGGATCATCAGTCTCTACTTTTGTTCAATAACCAAAAATATAAAATAAAAACAATCAAGATTTTTATGCAAACTTTTACACAATAATAATTGTACTTGTTGTTGTAGCAACATGTTGTAATCCAAATGGAATATTGTAACATCGATTTTCAAGAGATAAATTAATTTAGCCCATTTTAATTTTAGATTAACGCTATTTAAATGTATCTGAGAAATAAATAATATACACAATCCTATTTACATCAAATATTACATTATATATAAGACAAATCGGTAGTATCAACAAGAAATAATTATTTTAAAATAAATCTCGGTCTTAATTGTTTCTACGCAAATTAGTGATCTAGACGATCTTTTCCATGAAACATACTATAAAAAGATAATAAACATAATAATTATATAAATATAAGATGTGATATAATTATATTAAATATACAAGTCACAGTTTAGTAATGCGATATAGAAAATTGTAAAAAAATTATATATTACGCAAAAATATTTGCAGAAAGATTCTTTTTATTTTTATTTAATATATTAAAATTACATATCCATAATTTTTCTAACCTTTGCGGCTCGTTTTGATGTTCGTCATTTTTGAATATATTTTTTAATCCGTCTTAAAACATGCTTTTATTTAAAAATAGTTACTGGTAAAATTTTTTATCAATTCTACTTTACAATTTATTTTTTTGTTATTTTATAAGATAAATATCTAAAATTTATATTTATTTTTATTAAACATACTGTTTTTTTTTGTTTTGACAACAAGAATTGCCTCGAATTACGAGATAATGATTCTGTATATATAGTATAAATAACTTTTTATACAATTTGGTCAAAATCAATTTTGTACTGTTTCTTATCTGCAAGCGCAAATATTCTTTTTTTATTAAAATTGAGAATTTTATTAAATAAATCTTGTTAAAAATTTCAAGGCATATTTGTCAATAAATTTATAGGGAGAAAAATTTCCTTATAAAAATTTCTTTGTAAAAATAAGAAAAACTTTTATAATTTAACTGAATGATCTTCAACTAGTGTTCGAACTTGATAGCCTTAGCAATTATAAATTAAATTAACAAATACAATAAATTCTCTAACATTAGCATCTCATGTAAAGGCTATTTTAAAAAGTTATTGCTTTAAAAAATCCGTTTTTAACTCGTCCGACAGAAAACATTCGAATCAATTTGTTCAAGGCAAGTATGTCGTGCGACAATGTGTTGACGACTACGATGACGACAACGAGTGCACAGGACGAAAGCAAGAACAGGCGTTAACTCTGGCGTAATTAACGATTTCAGACTACAAGAAGTCAGCTTGCGATCGTGAACGGACGCGAATGCGCGACATGAACCGCGCATTTGAGCTGCTACGGTCGAAGCTGCCGATATGCAAGCCGCCCGGCAAGAAGCTTTCCAAGATCGAGTCATTGCGTCATGCCATCACGTACATCAGGCATCTGCAAAGCTTACTGGAGCCGCAATACAACTATGTACCCGGCGTATCCGATCGAGCTAGCGGCTATTACGCAACCCCGCCAGGCCCTCCGACGTCTTTTGAGGTCCAACATGCAACCCGATGGGAATCCCTGGCTTACTATCGATACGATTACCATGCACCTTTTGCAACCCCATCACCGCCGACCTTGGTACCACCTCTGCAACCGAGATTGCCGGTTGATCAGGATGATAGACAATTTTCTTTTGAAGCGCGTCATTAGCTCATTAGTATTAGTATAAGAATTAATTTTATAAAAAATTGATGAATTGATAAAGTTAACAGAGAAAGGAAGGAATCAAATTTGATAACTTTATCTCTCAAATGTTCTATTAGCCTTAAAAGTTTAAATATTTAAAATAATCTAAATTGCATTTTTTGAAAGCAAACATGTGTTAACAATATTTAAAGAAATAAAATTAGCAACATTAAATAAAAATTAGCAACATTAAATAATTACGAGCTAAATATATTAAACTTTAAAATATATTGTATTACAATTAAAAAATATAATTATATGTATTATAATTAATTTACATTTTTTATTTTTATATAAAATTAAATGTTTTTATGTGACTATTACAATACAATTATTTATAATATATGCTAGATAAATAATATATATATATATATATATATATATACATTATTTTATAATGTTTATATGACAGTGTTATATTTTGTCTGTTGTGCTGTGTTCGGCGGAGTAGTGGTTGGATGAATATGTAACGCAAGATCCCAGATCATTGTTTCTACATCTAAAGTCGATGGTCCGTGCCAACTTATAGTATTTTCATTGGGCATATCCACCAGCTTTGGTGTTGTAACAAACTCAAAATGCAATCGCCATTTAAGCGTCACCAAATCGGTAGTAAAATCTGGCGTAACGTGCAAAGGTATTGGTAATACCAAATGCGAATATTTAAGACCAAGACACATCTCATGATGCTTGTTGTAACTGATTAATGTCGGCATAGCAGTTTTTCCTCGCTTGTATTCCTCCGACACATGTTCCTCGGACTGTAAAGACACGGATACTTGAACACAGGATACAGTTGCGTTCGAAAAGTCAAAAGTTCCGACAATGTCCTCGCCAAGTTTGTAAGAATTCTTGAAGAGGCAAAACCGTACTACACGTCCGCGGCTGTTTGTTACATTATAAAAGTTTGGACTGCGTCTGGCTGTTAAATTCTAAAACATTGTTAAAACATGTAATTAAGATATTTTATATGTATGTATAAATGTTAAAATATTACATAAAAATCTTAAATCAAATAAATTAATTTAATTTCACACAAATATAATTAATACAACATATTCTAACCTGTAACGTTTGTAGAGCAATATCCAGTGGAGTTTCTCTGTGCTGCGTTTCCATAAATGGATTATTTGGACTCAGGTCTACGCTATCATTGCACGCTGTTATTTCTGGTAGTTCTATAAAATAATAAATAAATTAGATTTTACATTACAGGAATATTAACATTTTACAATTTTATATTTTTCAATCCTTTAAAACATTACCACTTAAAGAAAGTACTCTAAACGGTACTCGTAGTAATTTTATAACTGTATTCACTCTTTGTGTTCCGATAGTGATTTTATAAGAATATTTTACAGCTTGTCCTCTGTATGAAGGTGGAGCATCACTCGGTATTGTTTCACGATAGATATCTATTATATTAAAAAATTCACTAAACTTAAAAAAGACAAAATATATAGAAAAGAAAATTATTAAATAACAAATTTTTAAATACATGAATTTAATTATGATATTGAAAAAACTTACAAGTTTTACTTTCTCCAGGTGACAGTCTTAAATCACAACATAAAATTTTTGGTTTTGTATTTAATACTACATGTCCATTATCTTGTTGCCATGGTGCAAAGGTAGTATCTGTGACAAAGTTATAATAAATACAGATATATAGCAAATAGATATAAAATAGAGAAGATTAAAACATTTTTCATAAATTCATACTTGCATTAATCGCCACTGAGCGAGCTATAGTATTTATTTTCTCTAAAAGTACCATTTTGCTATTCGTTGTACACTGGCAGTGGACCTGTGCACTCGCCCATGCAAGACTTTCAAATAAATCACTGAAAAAAATAATTAATGTTAAGGACAACAATTCACTATAATATAATTCACTTTCATTATAATTTTACTTTTACCTGTGACTTTGCGATATTTGATGATTTGGATTTGGAGGATTAGTAAATGTAACTAAACATTCTATAATCTCTCCAGAAAAATACACAGGACCTCGAACTAGCTTGGCCGTGATTTCTATCATATTTGCTTTATTTCAAGTTGACATATGTACTTTTCAATTAATTTTTCAATCAATGTTTTTCGAATAAAATAATCTTCCAACATATAGATCAAAATAATCTTTTAATATTTGTATCTCTCATAACTCACCATATATTCAATGTTCTAAATATTTGTATATTTAAATTAAATCAAAATATGTATGTCATATCTCAATTACTCACAATTATCTCTAAATTCATGGGAAACAAATTCATAGGTCTCAGATATTAGAAAGTTTATACTACAGAATAGCTATTACGTTCAGCAGAAAAATAGCAGGTTTGTCGCGTTGTATGCACTTCCTGACATTTTCAGTACCTAAAACGAGATAGATTGTACGTATATATGGGCAATGAAGAAAGAAAGAACGAGAAACTTAAGTGCAACAAGGCAAGCAATGAGAACAGACCTTTAGTAAAGCGCGTTGTTGACTGGATTGTATCTTTAGATCTAGAAGACTAGTCCTATCTCAAAATAGATTTAAAAGTATAACCCAATCAGCGCTTGGACATACAAATATCTGAATAATCTGGACAAAGCACAAGGTATGTGTCAAATTATATATATATGTATAAAATTACCCGACAATTAACATAATTTTTTAAATCATTTTGTTCAAATTATTTTATATAAAGACATTTGAATATTATAATTAAAAAATAAAATTCAATAACTATCCGAATAATTTAATTTTAATTAATTATCTTTACACTATGCAATTAGCCAATAAATGAATCAAAGAAAATTTTTATATGAAATTGTATTTCATGTAAAAAACTTTTAAGTATAATTAAAAATTAAGATTTAACGGTAATTTACATAATTTAAGTTAAATATGTTCAAATTTACATATTTGTAACAAACACATATTATTTGTTATATTTCATTAAATTATGATAATGTAATAATATATTATATATCTATAATATATTTACTTATATTTGCTTATATTTATAGATTTGTTATGCTATTCTTGATAAAATGGTGAACATGCAATCTCGCATCGTAAAATCAGTCGACATAAAATATTTGTTTTTATATAATATAAAATTATACACATATAGTTTTAAAATCTTAATATTATCAACTTTTATTTAAATGGTATAACATTTTTTATGGAGATTGATTAATTAATTAATCTTGATTAATTAAGTTTTCTCAATATGTTTAGTATATGTATGTGTATGTGTATATGTGTATATATAATATATATAAATATATACATATATATAATAAACATATATATATATATATATAAAATATATAACATATATAATATATATAATATATATATATATAAAATATATAATATTATGTATAATATTTATAATCTATTTAAATTCAAAAAATATAATATTTCTAATTATTCTTTTAAATAGTTCAATTTTTCCCCTTAATAATATCCCTTTATCTCTTCTGATAAAATATTATACATTTTCATTTCTTTATAAAACAAATATTTTTTATCTTACGAAATTATATAAGTGCAACGCCATACAATGAGTTTCAATCAGTTTTTATATGTGAAAATTTTCACAAGAAACTTATAATTTTGTTATAAATTCGTTTGATTCGCCGTTTAAAAATGAAATGTTGTTGCAAGAAAACAATTTAAGACACGATTACGCACGAAAATCACAGTGAAAATATCGATTCACCCTATCTAACAGGGTAAGATAAGTAGGTGGTAGCCCATACCCATTTTTCTCAGGGCTGGATTTAAGCTTACATGATCCTGTGTGAAAAAGATTCTTTTTCCTTCGAATAACAATATATCGAACAATAATAAAGATAAAATATTTTTAATAATAAAAGGAAGTATATGTATGTTAACTACTATTATAACAGCGAATAAATTATTTAAAATTATAAAAAACTATCAAAATCAATTAATAATCAGAAATAATACTTACAATTATATCAAGATAATCAAATTTTATTTGATTACATATTTATTATATCTTTATTTGTATGTTATTGATAGAATTTCGTATATGATTCTTGCGACGATAAGAAAATATCTTTTTTGTATCTTTTAGAAAGATTTCTAAATATTCAGAATGCATATTCTCTCTCTTTATAGACATGCCAATCCGGCATTTGTGATTTTTACAGTTTTGTTTGCGTCAATCACTTTAATGCGCAAACAAGCAAAAAAGTAAGAAATCTAAATCGCAAACAAAAAACTCTTTACTTTTAGTAACTCAAGGTCAGCTTGATAGTCAATTGTCGTTAATAAGATGAAAAAGATGTATGCCAACGCATGCGTACGGACGCACACCTTGGGGGTGAGTCTACGGAACGGAATTGTACACACGTAGCAGAGACAGTCGCAGGGTAGATATGAATTTAATATGACGGATTATCCATCATTTGCTGATGTGACATTCTCGTTACGTTATTCTTTTGGAGCTAAAAAGTAGCCCGTTGTTGTTGCTCGTTGTTCTGACTAAACAAAAATATAATGTAACGTCGCATAAACGATAGGGGTGAGTATATAAAAATGTACACCCCGTTTTCTACTGCGTATCCAACCAACGATCTGTATCTTGTGTTTTCTTCTCAATCAAATATACTTTATACATTTACTTACATTCTAAAAAGTGCTCTTTCATACAATAAGTATAATGATCATCAATGAATTCTAGATAATTTATTTCATAGATTTATTGATAATTTATTTCATAGATTTATCATTTATTTAATAGATCTAGTTATACCATCTGGATTAAGTAAATGTAGCTTAATAATTAACAGTATTTTTCTAAATTAGTCTAATTTATACTTACGGAGACACATATATGCACAGAATAGCACATTCATGTACTACGTGCATAAAAAATATATATAAAAAATATATAAATTAAATTTTAAGAGTTATCATATCCTAAATAACTTGATCGATAATTAATTTATTAAATATCTGCATATTATTAATTGATAAAATTACCACTCTTTATTTTTTAACATATGGAAAAAGACTATAGATTAAAGACAATGAATTATATAATTAGAAACTTTGCTTTTAGCAATTTTGCTGATAAAATTAATTGTTAATTTCAATTTGGTGAAAGTCATCCTAAGTCGATAATAATAATATATAGGATATATAAAGTATTACAAAATGTTTTCTCTGATATTAGCAAGATAATTCTTTTTATACTTTTTATGGCTTGTTGAAACCTTTTAAATAACAAATAAGGTATTACCTTTTAAAAAGAAGCAAAAGAAATAATATCCCATTCTTTAAAATAAAATTATATAATTTTTTACATATAATGCCATTTAAAAAAATAAGATATCTTGTTGTGTTCCTCTTTAAAGGACCAATAGCGGTATCTTATAATTTAAAAAGGCCCACCAAACAAAAAAATTACAAAAAGAATTTCTTGTCTATCTTTAATAGTTCCGAAAAAGATACTTTATAACGTTTTATGTGATACTCAATGTAGATGATATTTAATGTAGAACCAATACGATTGTGTATGATAATGTAGAACAAATAAGATTGGATAATAGCTGTTTAGCACAAATTATGATAAATTACTCGTTGATAAAAACTTACATTTGTCGAATTTTCTGATTCACAGGTTCACAGTTAAGATGGATGTTCACGGTGCCGGAGTGGTGGCCGTTCTAGGCACAGTTGGAGCCGCTACCGGAGCAATCTCGGCGATGATTGTTTATACTATTTGTGCACGTCGTCGACGACTTACTTCGGTCGGAGGACCACTTAACTGGCATGTATTCCTCTTTCTGATAAAAAAAAGTATACATTTTTTTTTATTTATAAGATAGTGCAACTAATCTTTCCACAGACTATTATGTTCAATAAATTATAAAGTATTCACTGTATTGTGATAATTCAATTTATAATTAATTATAATAAAACAAGCATTACATTTTATTAAAATAACAATAAAATGTAACAAATGTGATCAAAATCAGTATAAATCTGCGAGCACAGATGATATCACAATTGTATTTTTTAATTTTGTCTCGCATTAATAATATTAATTTATTTAAATAATTTTAAAATAGTTACAATTTATTTTGACAAATTCAAGCGAAAAATAAATAAGTAGTAATATGACTTTTAGGTTCGAAAAAGATTTGTTGGACAGAGCTGAAGAGGCAGCTAGATCATCGAAGGATGTTTTGGTTGGTGTTGCTCTTTCGCGGGATAATAAAATTACCAGACTTAATGATAGTCACTCGGATGATGATGAATGGCAATCTGATCATGTATTTGATAGCATTGCCAGTGATTCTCCCAGAAGAGGTACATGTGTTTTTTAACAAGATCTATTAAACATGACATAATCACGGAAAGAGACATGTGTGGCATAGTAAAGAATTATGCGACAATTGATGTACATGACAATTGAATGTAAATTTTTAATAAAAAATTACGCCAATTTAGCCTGTAATGTAACACGAAATAAAAATTGACAAAAGCATTTTATAAAATTAAAATTTTAAAAATATATTTCATATGTAACAAAAAAATTGTACTCTTTGTTATTTCTTATGTTATGTATCTTGAATTTTCTTGTGCAGTTATACAGCATCTCTCGGAATCGGATGATATTCCTCCATCTCCAATGAGTCCGCTTGCGCCGCCAATTCCGGAAGGTACAGTGATCGCGTCTGAAAAGCGTATGATAATCGTCAGACCATTGACGCGAAGTATAAACGGGTCCTATTCCAGATTAAATAGTACTGAGATTGAATCGGCTCCACGACAAAAGGTATATTATATTCATTATATTTTCAATTCGCCAGATAATTGTATTTTTGTCATATCACAGCTTTCGTCCTCTTCTTCGACTTCTTTGTCCGACGAAATTAGAGGTGAATTAAAATTAGGATTGATATATGACACCAATGCTGGAATACTTACTGTGAGACTTATCGAGGTATTGTTTACATAATTTTTCATGCGGACTATGTTCTGGTGTATTCACCTTTCCCTCCTCAGATGACAAATGTGTAAATTGGAATAATCTTCTTTTGCATTTTAAAGGCACACGATCTTCGTGCTCGGGAATTAAGTGGTATTGCGGATCCTTATGCCAAAATACGTTTATTACCTGATCGTAATAACGTATGGCAAACTACAATACACAGACGTACTTTAAATCCCGGTAATTTTCTCATTTTTCTCTATTTTTATAAGATTATCGTAAAATAATAATTTATGATATTTGGAGTATTCAAATTATTCAAATATTCAAGTATATCAAATATTCATTTTAATATTTTAATATTCTGATTTTTTTTCCTAGTATTCGATGAAGACTTTGTTTTTGAAGTAACGCCTGCATCATCACTGGCTGAAAGAACATTAGAAATCCTGCTCTATGACTTTGACGCATTTACAAGACATCGTGGTCTGGGTTACGTACAACTTCCTCTTTCTTCCATACCGGATCTCGATATAAATTTGATTACTATTGTGAAACCAATTCTACGATATGGGGCAGAAGGTGGATTTAAAGCACCGCCGGGTGAACTTATGGTCTCCATTTCATATCAATTATCTATAGAAAAACTGACAGTCATTATTGTCAGAGCAAGAAATTTACCCATTCTCGACGATCCCGCAAATGCTAATCCGTATGTAAAGGTATGTATGTATGGTGCATTTTTCTTTTTAAAAAATTCTTTATCGATAAAAATTGTTTAGGTGTCACTTATTCAAGACGGTAAAAGTCTTAAAAAGAAGAAATCGAGTATACAACGTGAAGCTACTAGTCCCGTATGGAATGATATTCTTAGCTTTGATGTTAGTAGCGATATTTTACCCAAGTGTGTCTTACAATTCT